CTATTCTATTCTATTCTATTCTATTCTATTCTATTCTATTCTATTCTATTTTAAAGTGGAACACTTAAAATTATCTGCAAATAGTCAAATAAGAGCAACCTTGCCTGAATGAAAAGTGTGGATTACAGCTGCTGGTTGAAAGGAAATTTATATAAGCTAAGTCATTTGGGATGCAAACTTGTACAGAGGTGCAAAGGTAATTAATTATACCCCATCTTTAATATTTTTATAAACCAGTCAAGTAATACTTCTTCGTCCTCCTATTTTTCCCACAACAGTCCTGTGAGGTGGGCTAGGCTGAGAGAGAGAGAGAGAGACGGGCAGGCCCAAAGTCATTCTTCTGGCTTTCATGCTTTCCTTAATTTTAAACTTTAATATTGCTTTAAAAAAAACACATCCCAGAACTTTTAAAAATTGGAACTCACGGATAATGAGTGGTATAGGTCAGTGATGGCGAAACTTTTAGTTCCCCACATATGCGCCAGAGACCCAAAGACCAGCTGGCCAGCAGGAGGCGCACACACATGCGGAGCTGAGCTGGAGCGATGGTGCGTCTGCCCACAGAGAGGGCTCTGTGGGCCACCTCTGACATCCGTGCCACAGGTTCGCCCCCACTGATACAGGGTCTCCTGCTTGAGCCAGGGGGTTGGACTAGGTGACCTACCAGGTCCCTTCCAACTCTGTGATTTTGTATTCTGGGTGAATTAAAAAGGATTGATGATGGCTGGGTATTGTGTGGCACAATGACACAAGAATAACGGTGTTCCCACATTAGAGAAATCGATCGTGACAATGTCAGAATTTGCAGAAATGGCAAAACTGAACCGTTTGGTCAAACGATAGAGAGAGAGATATTTTTTTGAAAAAAATGAATTTATTTATGGATTGGACGGTTAAGAAAAGTGAAGATTAAATGAAGATGTTCACAAAACAGTTACCAGGGAGCCCATTAAGTGGACTGAGTTGTCTAGGCTGAGTTGTAAATATCCCCATGCTGGCTGGGGAATTCTGAGAGTTGAAGGCCACATATCTTAAGATTGCTAAGGTTGCAAAGCACTGATTTAGATAAGTAGCAAAGATTTTATGTATAAAATTTTCTCTACTGATCTAAATCAGTGCTTCGCAATCTTACTAATCATATATATATATATATGTATGTATGTATGTATGTATGTATGTATGTATGTAGGTCTAGGTGTGTTCGGGTCTTTTCCCGTGTAAGATTAAGAGTATCTTGGCGACATTTCGGCGAGGTCCCACTCGCCATCCTCAGGCTGGTGCTTTCGAACACCTGAACACACCTAGACCTACATACCTGTACCCGTGAAAATCTATGAAAACAAATAGATAGATAGATAGATAGATAGATAGATAGATAGATAGATAGATAGATACAGATACAGATACAGATACAGATACAGATACAGATACATACATACATACATACATACATACATACATACATACATACATACATATATATATATATATATATATATATATATATATATATATATCTTTGCTACTGATTTGTATGTATGTATGTATAATTTATTTTATTGTTTACAACTGTAAATATACAACAGTGCTGCTGTTTTGGCATTACATTTACTATACATACAAAGATATTGCTAAACCATTAACTTTCATATTATTGATACAGTATTTGCTTTTTGGTTCTATTCATCCTGGCTATTTTTGTTCCGGCCTTCCCTTCTTTTTTGTAACCACCGATAAAATTTATTCCACGTTTCATAGCAAACTGATTCCCCTTGTTTTTCAATTCTAAGGTTAGTCTATCCGATTCTGCCCAAGCCATTGTTTTCCTTATTATTTCTCTTTCTGGTGGTATGATTTCATTCTTCTAAAATTGTGCGTATATCATTCTCGACGCTGTCAAAATAGGTATGATTAAATATGCTATATCTTAGTAGTGAAGATTTTTGAAGCTCGTTCAATGGACATGATGCTATAGTGTATCATTAAGTCTATCTGCCCTATTATGAGGATGGTGATGGCAGTGATGTTGGGCGTTCATGGTGATAATTTTGCCTTTTCCAGCCGTCACGTCGCTGCCTGCTTCCTCGTCAGCTCCGGTTAATTGCACAGACGACCTCAGCGATAACCATAATTCCACCTTGCCGGAAGAAGACATTTTGGTGATAGAGCAACTGCGGAAAGTATGTAGTTGGAAGAGGTGGTTATTTGGTTGGAACAGTAAAATTTGGTGGGCTTGGTTTAGGGCTGACTCCAAACCTAAGTTGGACATAGAAGTGAGACCCAGCATGTCTTTGCCAAACCACACACCAAACCAGTGCTTCTCAGTCGATGGTTCTTACGGTTATGAAATGAAATGTCACCATTTTACGACCTCCCTTGCCACAGTTGTTAAGTGAATCACCGCAGTTGATAAGTTAATAACACAGTCCTTAAGTGAATCTGGTTTCCCCCACTGTCTTGGCATGGCGAAAAGGGATCCAATGAACCCTGGGACACTGTGCAACCGTCATAAAAATGAGCCAGTGGCCAAGCATGCTGAATTTTGAGCACGTGACCACGGAAATCCTGCCACATTTCCTAGGTTTCGCACACATAACTGTCATAAATCACATTTTTTTCAGTGCTGTTTTAACTTAGAAAACGGTCACAAAATGAATTATTGTAAGTCAAGGACTTACAGATAAAGTACAGGTAGTTCTCAGCGTATGAGCCCCACATTTCTGTTTGTTAAGTGAGACATTCGTTAAGTGAATTTTGTCCTATTTTACGACCTTTCTTGCCACCATTGTTAAGTGAATCACTGTGTCAGGGTTCCGGCAATTGCCCCCAATTAAATCATGAGTCTCGAGCCAAACTTCCAAAACTTCAAAAGGATTTATTGGGAGTTAACATGTCGGCACTGCCTGGGTGTAGCCGACTCTGAGGCACATCATTCCTTGCCACCCTTGACCCTGGTTTTCCCTCCACCTCCCTCGGTGTATCCTAACTCATATTCTCCAATGGGACACATCCATAGCCCAGAGTCATCAATCGTGCTCTCCAGTTAGAATTTTGCACTGGCAGAAACTTCAGTCACCTCGTTACTATATCTTTGAAAACATTTCTGGAATGCACTTTCGGTTTTCAAACTGCCACACTGCTCTGTCCCCCCTCCCTTTCTGTTGGCAACTCTAAAAAGACCATCCAAATATTTATGAGTTGACACACTGCAGTTGATAAGCTAGTAACCCGGTTGTAAAGTGAATCTGGCTTCCCCCTTGACTTTGATTGCCAAAGGCAGTTACATGAGCTTAGGACGCAGCAAACTGTCATAAGTATGAACCAAGTGGCCAAGCATCTGGATTTCGATCACATGATCAGGGGTGGTGGTGGTGCTACAGACTTCATTAAGTGTGAAAAATGGTCCTTAGTCCCTTTTTTCAGTTGTCGTCGTAACGTTGAAGGGTCCCTAAAGGAAATGTTGTAAGTCGGGGACTATCGGTACTTAACCTGCTTTTGTTCTAGCAATCATTCTGCCCTCTTTTTTTCCCCAGAACATTGAATCCCGGTTAAAAGTGTCTTTGCCGAACGATCTCAGCGCAGCCTTAACGGACGGCGTGGTGCTTTGCCATTTAGCCAACCATGTGCGGCCACGTTCGGTCCCTAGTATTCACGTGCCCTCGCCAGCTGTCGTAAGTATCCAGGGTAGTCGTGTTGGGCCACTTCAGGAAAATTGGCTTTTAATTCCTCTTTCTCTTCCCTTGGAATTTTACTCAGCTCCATATAGAATAGAATAAAATAAGAATAGAATAAATATTGAATGAAGAATAGAATAGATTGGAAATTGGATGAAGAATAGAGTAGAGTAGAATAGAATAGAAATAATAATAGAATAGAATAGAATAGAATAGAATAGAATAGAATAAGAATAGAATAAATATTGAATGAAGAATAGAATAGAATAGAATAGAATAGAATAGAAATTGGATGAAGAATAGAGTAGAATAGAATAGAATAGAATAGAATAGAATAGAATAGAATAGAATAGAATAGATATTGGAATGAAGAATAATAATAGAATAGAATAGAGAATGGAATGGAATGGAATGCAATGGAATGGATAGAGAAGAGAATAGAATAGAATAGAATAGAATAGAATTCTTTATTGGCCAAGTGTGATTGGGCACACAAGGAATTTGTCTTGGTGCAAATGCTCTCAGGGTACATAAAAGAAAAGATACCTTCCTCAAGAGTCAAGAATCATCAGGTGCAACATTTAATAATAGTCATAAGGTACAATAAGCCATCAAAACATACTAGGAAACAGTTAATATAAATCGTAAGGATACAAGCGACAAAGTTACAGTCCTACAGTCACAAGTGGGAGGGAATGGGCAATAAGGAGGGATGAGAAGATTAATAGTAATAGTAGTGCAAACTTTGTAAATAGTTGGACAGTGTTGAGGGAATTATTTGTTTAGCAGAGTTAGGGTTAGGGTTATATTATATTCATGACTGGGCTGTATTTTTGCAATAAATGAATATGTATAAAGCAATGTCAAAAACATGAAATGCAAGTAAAGGGAATTCATTTTTGGAGGTTGCAAAACAGCCTGTCCCATTCTTGCCCTAAATGAGGTGAATGCTGGTGTCACACACACACACACACACACACACACACACACACACACACACACCGTATGGCTTGTCATCTTTGGCACACGGGTCGTAGGTCCGCCATTGCTACTGGAGACTTAACAACGCTGCTCCTGGTGAATGCCATATTCTTCTTTCTCCCTTCTGCAGCCTAAATTAACCATAGCCAAGTGTCGACGGAATGTGGAAAATTTCCTGGAAGCCTGTCGAAAAATAGGGGTGCCACAGGTATGAGAGGAAGCCTTCCAATTTATCTTCATACTGTGTGGAATTATTTTATCTAAAAATTATTTAGATAACCGTGGGGTCACTGGTGCTCTTTGAGCTTGGTTGCTTTCTTGCAAACGTTACATTATCCAACTAGGTAACATCAGGGCTAAAAGGAAGGAAGGTTTGCAGAGTGGAGGAGGAAGAGGAGAAGATGGGGTTTGAGGAGAGGAGGATGAGGATTGCAAGGTCCTTGATGTTATCTGAACTGGGTTATTTTCTTACAGGCGTTATGTGACCCAAGTAGGTAACATCATCAGTGCTAGAAGGTAGCGGGGAGGGAGGAGGATCAGAGCAGGAGGAAGATTGTGGGGTCTTTGGTGCTCTCTGAGCTTCGTTATTTTCACAAAGACATTTCATGGCCCAACTACGTAACATCATCAGTACTAGGAGGAAGTGGGATTTGCAGGGAGGAGGAGGAGGATTGTTGGGTCCTTGGTCGTTTTCTTGCAGACATTTCATGACCCAACTAGGTAACCTCATCAGTGCTAGAAGGTTTTTTTTTTTTTTTGCTGTTTTAAAACCTCTTTGGGATGTTTAATCTCACCTCCCAGGAACCCATGGTTCATCAGAGTGGAGTACACCCCAAAACAGCACACCCATGCATCAAAAGATAGGTACAAGAGGAAACTCCTGGCCTCTTCAGCTACAGATAAATAACTTGGGAGGATATCTTGGACTACTGTTCCCGTTGTCCTCAGCCACGAGAGCATCTGGCCATGCTGGTGAAAGGTGATGGGAGTTGTAATCCCATACACCTGACGAGCGACAAAGGAAGGAAGGGCAGACTTATGTTTCAGATCTAAGGTCTCTACTGTCTCCTGAATGGATGGAAAAATACCGAGCAAAATTAGATACGGTTGCATCTCACCAGCCTGATAATCCTGGTTTTAATCTGGTTAATGTCTTGGTTTCACCTTGGTTGTACCCACGACCAAATTTCCAGCGCATGGAAAACTAACCTCTTCTGATTTGTGGTCTTTTGAATTCCTCCCGGGTTCTCAGATTTATAGGAGTGTCGGTGGTTGGACAAAAGGGGGGAGGGGAGACAACCCCTGGGAGCAATTCAGAAGACCCTGCCTGAAGCTGCCCAAGTAGGATTTCTCCCCATTGCAATCGGGTTGGGGTGCCGTGAACTTCACACGCACAAATCTGTCACAATTGGCTTGTCCCTTCGGCATCACCACAATTCTGGAAGGACCTGAGATAAAATCCTAAAGGTTTTGGAGTAGAAATCTTGCTTCTAAATTGCTTTGAGCAGGATACGGATAGTCCTTGAGTTGCGACTACTATTTCCAGTGCTAAGCAGGGCAGTTGTTAAGTAGTGGGAAATAAGAATCAGAGGAATTCAAGGAGGACTGGACTGAGATCTCTTGTTGGCGTGCGATGCAGCCAGGGCTGGGATTCTACCTGGTCAGACCGGTTCTATAGAACCCGTTGCTACAATTCTGCACAGTTCAGAGAACCGGCAAATCGTGCCACTGGCTGGCCCCGCCCCTCCCCGCCCACTCATTCCTTACCTGGCATGTGTGCCATCCAACTTGCCTGCGTTTGGTAAGTTGCTATTTTTCCTCTTTTTTCTCCCCCGAGCATCAGCTGTTCTGCTGTGCTGGGAGATTTAGATTAGCTAGAAAGCAGGAAATCGTTGGATTCCTTGCTTTCTAGCTAATCTAAAAACAAAACTGAACCTTCCTTAGGACTGAAGCTTCTATTTTTCAGTGCAGACTCAGGCAGCAGATTGCAGAAAGGTAGATCTCTGAGTGATTCTGCGATTCTGTGAGCAACTCAATCTGCCTGCCTGCTTTGCCTGATTTGGGGTAAAAGTTGCTCTTTTTTTGTAAAAAAATTCAATATTTATATACATGGTGTGTTGTGAGTTAATTTTGTGAGTTTGCTTGCAAGCAAATTTTATGCGACAGACTCACGTAGCAGATTGCAGAAAGATAGATCTCTGAGTGAATCTGTGATTCTGTGAGCAACTCAATCTGCCTGCCTGCTTTGCCTGATTTTGGGTAAAAGTTCCTTTTTTTAATAAAAAAATCAATATTTACATCAATATTTATAATATTTGCATGCAAGCCATGCCCACCCAGTCACATGACCACCGAACCACACCCATAAATTAGGCCACGCCCACACAACTGATTGTTAAGAAATTTGAATCCCATCCCTGGATGTGACAGATTTGACCCTCCCTTCCCTTGGTCTCAGCCTCGTCCTCGCCTACAATTTCAGACCTCTCTTGCCCCAGTTGCTAAGTGAATCGCAATTGTTAACTTAGTGGCACGTTGTTAAATGAATCTGACTCCCCCCAAAGTCACAAAAAGGGGGATTCTGTGATTCCAGGACACGACAACCGTCGTAAATATCAAGCGTCTGAATTTTGATCAGGTGAGCACAGGAGGGTTTATAATGGGTGTAAATGTGAAAAACACATTTACAACCCTGGAACGGTCACTAAACGAATGGTTGTAAGTTGAGGGCTACCTGCACAGTACAAAGTGCTTTGAGACGCTTATTTGTACATAGTCCAGAGTCCTGGGACAGAAATGGGCCATTTCAAAAGTTGATGTAAAGCTGACTTTCGAAGCAATCGACAGATGGGGTTTGGGGGTTCACTTGATCGTCTTTTTTGCGACCTTCTGCCATGCAGAGTCAATGGGGGAAGCCAGATTCACTTAACAACCATCTTACTAAAATGTCTTTGGAGATTCTCCGTCATTCAGGTCGTGGTTGTCCCAAAGTTGTTGTTTTTCAAAAAGCAGCTGGACTTCCTTTGATTTTCCTCCCAAGACGTTCCGCTTCTCATCCAAGATGCTTCTTCGGAACAGTGGGGCAAACCATGTCCCTCGCTTCCCCCACTGCAGCGATTCACTTAACAACGGTGGGAAGGCAAATGGCAAAATGGGGCAGAACTCACTTCACAGCTGTCTTGCTTAGGGGTGGAAAGGTTGACTCGGTTACGGTCCTAAGAAGGACGCCATGGCTCAGTGGCTAAGACGTTGAGCTTGTCGATCCGAAAGGTCGGCGGTTCGAACCCCCAGCGCTGCACAAGGGACTGAGCTCCCGTTCCTTGTCCCAGCTTCTGCCAACCTAGCAGTTCCAAAAGCACGTAAAAAAATGCAAGTGGAAAAATAGGGACCACCTTTGGCGGGAAGGGAACAGCCTTCCGTGCGCCTTCAAAGGCGTTTAGTCCTGCCGGCCACAGGACCACGGAGACGTCCTCGGACAGCGCTGGCTCTTTGGCTTTGTAACGGAGAGGAGCGCTACCCTTTAGAAAGGACGAGCACATATGTGCGAGGGGAACTTTCACTCTTAGCTATGGTCCTAAGTGGTATGTCTGGGCATAACCATGGTTTTAGAAACGGAAGCGCTGCAACCTGGCGAGGAGTTTTTACATTGGGCAGCTTCGCAGACTCCGGCCTGCCTACCGAGCGAGCTTCTACTAATTTTTTTTCTGTCTGTTTTCCCTTTCCTGCTGCCCCTTCCGGACAGGACAGCCTGTGTTCCCCTTCTGACATTCTCCAGCTAAACCTCAGCATTCAGAGGACTGTGGAGTCCCTCCTTTCTCTGGGCACAGACTCCGAAGAGACTAACCTGGTGCTACTTTCTACTCAGCTCTGTGCTTTCGCGGCCTTTTACTGTACCTTGATGCTCCTGGTCTGTGTGTTCTACCGCTGGGTCTTTTTCCTCTGAGAGAAAAAAACAAAAAACACAAAACACAAAACGAAGCGAAAATCACGCACAACCTTTGCCGGTCACCTACGCCGGCTCCTCCGACTGGGCGGCACACGCTTTGCGGTTTGCGGGAGACGGCACGGGTTCAAATCCACCCGTGAACCTTGCTCCGGGCCAGCTGGCTGAGAGTTACATCTTTCAAAGCAAGGGGTCGGCAACCGTTTTTAAGATCCCAAAGGGCCCAGATCCTGCCCCTTCTCTGCCTCTTGCAGCAGGGGTGGCCGGCAGGTTCTGCAAACCGAGGGACGTGACAGCCGCGGGGATGGCCCCCATCCTCTTCTCCTGCCCCTCCAGGAGCCTGGCTCTGAGGCTCAGGGCTGACCATCGGTTTCCAGCCCCCCATAGTTAGCCTGCGGGCTGGATTTGGCCTGCAGGCCACCGGTTGCCGACCTCCCGGTCTTAAACCTTTGCATAGTTGTTGTTGTTGTTTTTTTTTAAAAAAAGAAAGTCTTGCTGTGTTACACGTGGAATGCTTTCTGGAAGTGGCAGGAAAGAAAAAAGTACATGGGAATGCATGGATTTATTTTAACTACACGACTAGATATTTTTGTAAAATAGGAAGTTTCGGGTCCTGAAGCACAGGGTAGAGACAATAAGGGAAATTTAGCCGTCGGGGGACGGGGAGGGGGAAAAAAAAACCAGCTGGTTTGTTAGGAGGTGAAGATGGCTTGGCTGTCTCCCTTTGGGTACCGTCCAAGTTTTTTTTTTAAAAAAAAATACATATTTCTCGAGGTTTGAGCAGCTGCAGGATTTTTCCAGGCTTTTCTCCCAAGGGCTTGGAATAAAGACCAGCCTTTTTTGTTTTGTTTTTAAAAATCAAAACAAAAGGGTTTCTGCTTCAGAGTTCTCCGATGCCGCTCCTGGGGAAATGTCCCCTAAAAGAGATTCAAACGTTCCTTCGTGTCTCTGGACCACCCCAACATTGAAATAATAGGATTTTTTATTTTTAGCTGGTGCAAGGAATCTCTCTGGGGATTAGAGCACAACGTTAGAAGAGGAAGCTCCTCAAAGTTGGGCTTTAAAAAAAAAAAAAAACAATTTACAGAGGCCTCTTCTTTGGGTATCTCTTCCTTTTTTCCTCCCACTTGGATAATTACTCAGGTAGTCAAATATTTCTCCAAGGAGAACAACCTCTCTGTAAGCTCTCGGCCAGCTCTTGAGCATTGCCCCCCGGGGGGGGAGCAGCCCTGGTCTCCGAGCTGATATCCTGGCTACCTCTGCACAGCTTCTCGGTCAATCCA